GTTCTAATGTTATCACCTGTGTGTTGTCCTTTGATGAATCTTAATTGTGATTCTGATAGTATAGTGTCTAACATCATTTGTACCCCTATAAATCCTAATGCTAATTTATTGAATCCATTTAAATGTCTTTTGAAAGCAAAGAATATTGTTTTGTCTCTGACTGCAAGTTTTAAATCATACCGTTCTTTAATTGATCTCATGATAAAATAGTTTGTGATTTAAATAAGATGCTTTAAAACTCCACCCTAAACCGATCAGATCCTGTAGATTTATCATGAGTCATCTTTTTAAGTATGTTAGGTAGTTCATCTAAAGAACCAGATTGTTGTTTTGTTAGATTTGGAACATTTCTCCTAAGTTATTGTGAAAATGGGCAAAAAATATCAAGAATAATTTTTGATTTTGAGCAGAGATTATTGTAGGGAATTATAATTTTATTAAGAATTTGCTTTTCGTATATTAAAAAAATATTTCTTTATGTTTATTCTGTTTATAAAATATATAATCCATAAGTCATAAAATTTCTTGGATATTTTAATCCTATTTTGAGTCCACTGGTAGCTACCTCCGATTGCATACGCTTGACTTTTATCTTTTCTTAAAGTTTGCAGCTGATTCATTTTCCTTAAATTCCTCTCTCTCTCTCTCTCTCTCTCTCTCTCTCTCTCTCTCTCTCTCTCTCTCTCTCTCTCTCTCTCTCTCTCTCTCTCTCTCTCTCTCTCTCTCTCTATATATATATATATATATATATATATATATATGCAATTCCACTTCTAGCTTATCAGTTTCATTATCTAGATTTTTTTCCCCCTTCTTAATTATGCATAGCAAATAAAATAGTTGTGTCCCTTAATATCATTAATTAAGCTTCTAAAAATAGACTATTATAAATTGTATCAAGGATATGTTGCATCATGAAGATATGTTACAATTGCCATTTAATTCATCACGATTATAAACAGGTAGCTAACAGATAAACTGCGATTTGTTATTTTTGTCAGATAAAGCTATTTATGACAGATAAAGCTATTTACAACTGCGATTTGTTATTTTCGTCTGCTAAATTACAAAGTTTTTATTAACTTCACAGAATCTTTTACTCCATCAAAAGTTATGAAGTTTTAGTTAAGGCATAGTAATTGACTTTTCCGACCTATAACTACTGTAATTTTTATGCAATTTACTAAGTTTGTTCATTCACAAATAAGAACAAATATTATATAGTTTGCTTTGTTGTATTTTTACTGGGCCAAGTATATCATTGAATATGTGGATTAAGTACTCTAGAAATGGTCCACCATGTTAGGATCCATTATGATTTTTTTCAAAATTATTTTTGGGTTCTTAATATTTACATACCCTTCCAATAAGAAACTGAAACTGAAAGCATGACATAAAACATTGCCTCATAATTCCCTTATTATTTCTTCCACACTGTGAAAATATAAGGATCATCTGAATTAGGACCGTACAAATTAACCAGTATTAGTCTATTGTTTCCTTTATTTAAGTCAATTCCAAGTAAATTACACATTTACCTATCTTTTCATTCCTTTGAAATCCAAATTCAAAGTTGTTATTAAACATTATACTTATTCCTCTTGCATTTAGCTCATGTAAATTAAAAATAAAACTAAATCCCCTTTGTGTTTTAACATATTTCTCTTCCTTTGATGCAAAGTGAGTTTCCCTGATCTATTACAAGTTTTGTTTTGTTAATGTGATGCACATATTTAATTATCTGCTTAAATCTGTTTAGATAGATGCATTCCCACCATTATATGTTGTCGTGTAATGTATGCACATGCAATATTTATCACATGGTCTGCAAGTGCCCGAAATCAAACTTGTGAGCCTTCTCCCATGCTGTAACAACAACATTGCGATTTTTAAGGCTTATTTAACAAAGATAAATATGAAAAAGAGGAATAAGAAAACCCCAATGATGTTTCATCATTCGAATTAAATTAAACCTAGAAACAATACATTAACTTTCTGTCTAATAGATACCTTTCTGTCTAATACATAACTTTCTGTCTATTTACCCATCATTTACATCTAAGGTCACCTGTTTCAACATTCTATCACTTTCTAGTCAACAGAATCACAGTGTGAATCTAACACATAGTTTTTACTCAGGTAAATTTTCTCTGATGAACACCATAAGCACATGGAATTCAATATTAATGTCAATAATTTCATAATGATCACCATTGTTTAACTTGATGGATATAAGAAGCATACATGGAGCATATCAAATGTTTAGCAAAGAAGAAAACATTAACACACAGAAAGATTTAATTTTTTCTGCATGCACAAGCAGACAGTTAGAACAACTAATTATAAGTTATAATGTTTACATGGGTTTGCTAACAAGAATCTTTTTCATTCGCAGTTTAACTTTTAATATTTGGATAAAGTATCAGTGGTGATGAATTTCTGTTAAATTATTCTAAAAGCATGAAACCAGTAATAAAAAACAGATTAATTGAAGATGAACAAAGATTTGGATATTAAACAAAATAGAAAAAAGCAAAAGAAGGTAGTCAATCAGGTAAATTAACATATTTAAATTTAAAAGAAAATGTTTAAGCAAAAGTCAAACTTGATGAAAGATCATGTAACTAAGTTTCAGATCTATTTAAATATTCGCTTCACTATACAGATAATATAATGCAATTCTAAATCTATACACTATCCGTTATTTTTAAACAAAATATTGTCACTCGATGTAAAATACATGTTCAAGTTAAAGTAAAAACAAAATCATTGACAATTTATTTTAGAAGGGTTTCTTTATTTTCTAAATGATAGCTTCTTCAAATGATTTTGGAAGAAAAGATATTAACTTTCAAATAATTTATGAGAATGTGTTCGGATTAGCTCTTTAATAAATATGTATAGAAGATCCATACAACATCATAATGTGTAGCAATTTAATTTGCATCATATTCAAATGACAAATAGTCTAACTATTCTTGAAGAAAAAAAATGTTCCTAATGCAACAAGATAGTTGACATTATTAAAAAAGCGTAAAGTAAATAAACTTAATTATGTTGGAACATCCTTATCAACTCTCTTTAGAGATATAACCAAATAGTAGTGTTTATTTAATCCATTAGAAAACTTTCTTTTCCTTGGTGGTATTATTCATAATTATACAGCTTATGACAATAAATCTCTTTCTGTTTTCAGTAACAAGGCAATCTTTGCACATTTCAATTTTTCACCATAACATTTCAATTTTCATTTTACAAATATAATATTAGTAGTCATAATGTATTTTATAAAATTATCTATTATGAATATAACTTCTTTATCATTTGATATCTTAACTCTTGACATCAATTCAATATTTTCATAATGTTTTCTAAACAGACCTCTCCTAGATGAACATCTAGCTATTTACAACTGACGATATGTATCTACACAATCCTGATGGATAAAGCTATTTACAACTGACTATATGTATCTACACAATCCTGATGGATAAAGCTATTTACAACTGACTATATGTATCTACACAATCCTGATGGATAAAGCTATTTACAACTGACTATATGTATCTACACAATCCTGATGGATAAAGCTATTTACAACTGACTATATGTATCTACACAATCCTGATGGATAAAGCTATTTACAACTGACTATATGTATCTACACAATCCTGATGGATAAAACTATTTACAACTGACTATATGTATCTACACAATCCTGATGGATAAAGCCATTTACAACTGACTATATGTATCTACACAATCCTGATGGATAAAGCCATTTACAACTGATGATATGTATCTACACAATCCTGATGGATAAAGCTATTTACAACTGACTATATGTATCTACACAATCCTGATGGATAAAGCTATTTACAACTGACTATATGTATCTACACAATCCTGATGGATAAAGCTATTTACAACTGACTATATGTATCTACATAATCCTGATGGATAAAGCTATTTACAACTGACTATATGTATCTACACAATCTGACTATATGTATCTACACAATCCTGATGGATAAAACTATTTACAACTGACTATATGTATCTACACAATCCTGATGGATAAAGCCATTTACAACTGACTATATGTATCTACACAATCCTGATGGATGAAGCTATTTACAACTGATGATATGTATCTACACAATCCTGATGGATAAAGCTATTTACAACTGACTATATGTATCTACACGATCCTGATGGATAAAGCTATTTACAACTGACTATATGTATCTACACAATCCTGATGGATAAAGCTATTTACAACTGACTATATGTATCTACACAATCCTGATGGATAAAGCCATTTACAACTGACTATAGGTATCTACACAATCCTGATGGATAAAGCTATTTACAACTGATGATATGTATCTACACAATCCTGATGGATAAAGCTATTTACAACTGACTATATGTATCTACACAATCCTGATGGATAAAGCTATTTACAACTGACTATATGTATCTACACAATCCTGATGGATAAAGCTGAGCCTTTTCTACTCTCCATGATATATTAGGATTGCATGTAATTTTTTATTGGAAAAGTCATACTCTCAACATTGCACTGTAACACATATTAAGTTTAAAGTTTCTTTTGAAAAAAGTTTGAATATTTATTACTGATCTTTTTTCATGCACTATATTTGTTTTATTATTATCTTTATTACATACAAGAATTACAAGAATTTAAAAATTTGAACTCTAGATCTTAAGAAGAATCTTTATGCACAGAAGCTTGTTTTAAAATAAATTCTGCTTACATGTAATGAGATTTAGATTAAATGTCTTATTCCCAAGTAATGATAATTTTCCTTAGATTATAACAGATCTTACTAACATGTTTGTTCTTGTTACTTCTGTGATGTTGTTATTAACTTGTTCTCTTCACTCATCAACTATTTCATAGACATTAACTGAAATATTTAATTTGCCCTCAGATTTATTAACATCTATTATTGTTAATAGTGATGACCACTCAAGTGGCCTAGTGGTTAGAGCATCTGCCAAGGATGCGGGAGGTTGTGGGTGCGATCCCCAGCAGAGTCATACCAAGAACTTACAAAAATGGTACTAACTAACAGCTGCCTCACTAGGCGCTCAGCATTAAGAGGTTAATGTTAGGACTGGTCGGCCTGATCTCAGAATAATGTGACTGGGTGGGACATCATACTACATGTCTGCAGCATGATGTCCCAGTGCTAGACATCACTATAAACTGCCACACTGCAGATATCATAATGATACAACTGAAACTTTTTTTAAAGCTACGTTAAAATTCCAAATCACACATATATAGTTTTAATAGGGTATTTATGAAAATCAATTATTTTGCTAAGTTTTGTTTTAGGTCTGTATATGTGATTTGCTGGTGAGTTTGTAATAACATAGAAATGAAAAACATTTATTATCATTATTTTAAACAATAATACAGGCTATATATCCAATCTGGTAAATATTTATAAGAATCAGCTCAAAACAGTTTTACTTATCAACATGTAAAAATAGGTGATTCAATTTAAAGACCAACTGGAACTACTACTTTGTTCACTAAACTGTTTTAATATATCAAGCAGCATTTCAACATATTCTTTTACAGTCCTAAATATACCCTCCAGTTTAGTTTTTCACACAATCTTCCCTTAAGTTCTTCACCATCTAAATCTTTTGTGCAGAAAGGAAGTCAATGGGGGTGACACCATGAGTTACTGCACTGGGTAACACCAACTCTGGTGATGCCACTGAGTTGGGTTGGTCTTTTGTTAGTTTTTTAATAAAGGATGCGGGTCCCCCGAGTGGCCAAGTGGTCTAAAGCGCTGTCCATTACGAATCACTGCCATCTCACCTCTGTCTGCGGGGGTTTGAGTCTAGGATTCGGCAAATGTGGATATGGGAGAAAGCTTGCCAGTAGCTTCTCGTGGGTCGGTGGTTCTTTCTGGTGATTTCCCGGTTTCTTCCTCCACCATTAATACTAGCCACCATGAATAGCCTATTGTGTGCTGAAAAATGGCGTTAAGCCCAACAACAACAACAATAAAGGATGCAAAAATATATTTAGACTATATAAGTATATAGCAAAGAATATATCTCTAGTTGCTTCATCAACATTATGAACAAAAGAGTCCTGTAGTATATAAGGAAATCAACTTCTCTAGCATATCACCCATTTAGTCCAGAAAACATTTTAGTTTTAGTAACTGCATATTATTTTTGTTTCTTTCTCGACATTCAAAGTTTACAGGATGCATTCAAGCGTAACTTGTTTGATATTTGGAACTACACTGTAAATTCAAAGTGGATTTAGCATTTTGCAGAATTAAATACATATAAGTTTTGGTATCAATTAAAGAAAAAATCTGTTCTGTGGAGACACTTGCTACTCCTGTACCCTAAAGCCTCTAATACTCATCTCCAACTCAAGTTTCCTGTCGGCCTTCTTTCAAGTATGTTTTAAAAATGATCACTTCCTATGTAGCTTTAAATGATACTGACATGTGTACAAAATATATTGTACTGGAACATGCAATATTTTGTAAATCAAGTTTACAGTGGAAAAAAAAGCAAATAAACAAAAATGATTAAATGAAAACAAATTAAAACACAACATTTGTATAATCAGCTATCTCATACATTATGAAAGATAATCCATCTGGTGCAGGATATAATCCTTGTTTTGGTTCCAACAAAGAAATATATGAGCTTATGGTGCCTTATATCTTTATTATTTTCTTGCTAATGACATTCTTTTCACAACTTACAGAGGAACAGTATACCTACAAACTCAAGGCAAGAAAAATAAAAAGGTAGTGAAACTAAGAAAACATTATTGACAGTTTTTCTCAGCCTAAAGACTTTCAATTTTTAATTTTGTTTTATAATACACACATCTCCTCCTGAGGAAAATTAAATATCCCTACCTCCAGATGGTTTATTTTTTAAAAGAAAGAAAACATACTTTGTTTTGGGTTTAGGACATTATCAATGTAAATACTGATTGCCTCAAAATAAAGAAAAACAAATAACAAAGGAAATTCAAAACAGAAGGAAAGAAAGATTAAATACTCTCCAGGGTCTTATAATAGTATCCATTTTTATTACTTTCACAAAACTTATTCAGAATTCTGACTGGTTAAACAGCTTACACATGTTCAAGAGCAATAAAAAATCTGTAATGATCAACAACACAATTTGAATTAAATAACAAATGTAATCAGAACAGATACATGTAATATATAAATGATTTCATTTAGTCTACAATCAGACACTGCAGGGAGACACATGATTTCATCTCTTTTGATTTCACTATTTTCTTGTTCCGTCCATCCCCTGTATTCTCACCTAATTAAAAAAATAGTAAAACGAACAAAGACTATACAAAGTCATTAAAAAAGACTTCACTTATTGGATGGATGAGATTGACAAGTACATGTATACTGACAAGTACATGTATACTGACAAGTACATGTATACAGATATTTACCTCATACAAAACAAGAGTGGTTTTATTAGTGACTAATTCAGGAAATGATATGGAATATTTCATGCACAAATGGTCATTTACTATCTCGTTTTCCCTCTCTGTATAAGATAAACATTTTTGTTCACAAACTGGGTAAAAGGCAAGTTGAATAAACAAATGACTGGATGACAACTATTTGGAAGGCTGCAAGCTGTTTTGTACACAATGCTTTTCAATGTAGGACTTGTCAGCTCAAATGAATCATAATTTTATTTTTTAATTTATTACAGCTTGAAAAAATATGGACCAGTATAATGTAATTTAAGTACTTTAATTTTATATGAATTGTTATATTAAGCAGTTTGACACAGCATAACAATTTATACTGTACTGATTCCAGAATAAAGTATCCAGACTGAGCAGATTTCTAATTAGATTGAACTGATTCCTAACCATATCTACTGCAAAATTCTGGTAATTTGAAAGTCTTGAAGTTGGGCTAGGAATACAAAAGGATATGACAAATTTTTCATGAATAGAGTGGTTATTTATTTCTTTTGTTTATAGAATCCTTCTCCAGTCTTGTTGCCAAGCTTGCCTTCGGACACTAGCTTATCCAGCAAAGGACTTGGCATGAACAGAGGATTGTCAGGATATTTTTTGTGCCAACCTGTAGAATAAAAAAAGATGGAATATTAAATAAACAAAAATAAAAATTAGAATAGAGGGAGATGAAATATTAAATAAAAATATTTAAAATTTGAAATAACAGGAAAGAGAATAATAATAAAAAATTTTAAAAATTCAAAATAAAGGGAGATGGAATATTAAAATAAAATTTCATGGAATTATGTATTGCCTGCTGTAAATGTACTGTAATGGGTATATAAATTTACAATATGTGATGACTGGATTGAATGAGGTCTTTGTCTTTTACTCTTATTGGGTTATTCGCTTTTCTGGATGAAATCATTCTAAAATTAATGTATATATTAGTATTATTTTCTGCTCTGCATTACTATTTTTAAAACCCACACTTCATTCTAAATGTTCCACAATCAACAACCTCAACATCTGTTTACTTTAGCATTTCTGTTAATCATTTTGTTTATCAAATTGATATACTTATTATTCATGTCATGGTTTTGATCAAACTAATGAGGCTACCTGTAGGGAAAAGAAACTAACCATAGGGAAATAAATATATGACTATGATGTGTCCTGCTGTAAAATTAATACATTTTCATAATGCCAGGCAATTTAATGATAACACTTGTTTTTCATTCTTACCAATTAAGATAACACTTGATGAATTTATTGAATGCAAGAAATTTTCAATGAAAATTTAATTTTTGACAAACAATAAACATCAAAGAGCTTTCAAACTGATTATAAAACATTCAAACTATTATGTGGTGTTCTGTAATAGTAACAGATAAAGAAAAGGGCATTTCTTTTAGTGAAACTGTTTAAGGGATCGAATCCAAGAAATTTATCAATGGACTTAAAGAAATTTACTGTCTAGGTAATTCTAGTCAAGGTACTGATTCTTGTAAGAATCCCAAATATGGGATAAAATTAGTAGTATCAGTAGAGGAATGAATATTATATCTTTAATTTGTTTACTTTCATGAAACAATGAGAATACCAGAGTAATGGTCCTCCCTTTGGCATGGGCTGATATAGTGAAATCTGTCTTGAAAGATCACAGCTATGTGAGACCACCTATCTTGAGAGATCATATTCTCAATGCACAAATTTATTGATTATATAGCATTGTGACCTGTTATGACAGACCACCTGTCTTGAGAGACTATACTTTTTGGACAGAAATAATGGTCTTTCAAGAGAGATTCTACTGTATAATGATTATTGGACAGGAAAATATCAAGTATCTTCTGAACATGCTGTAAAATGTAAAATGCTTATATCAAGCTATACTTGAATCTTAGGGATAATTTACCGGTTCTTTTTCAACTGAACAGAGAGAAGTGAGAGCTGAACAGGACGACATTTCAAGAAGAAAATTCCAAATATTGTATTTTAATTAAAAACACATTTATAGTGTACCACTCCAAAAATCAGAGCCAACAGCATGACTAGAAACTTCTGATGGGAATCTCCATCAACCACCCAAATATATGAACACAAAGAATACATTAAGTTTACTTAAAATTCAACCAGGAGTTGCCCTCAGCTATCCTAATATACTGAACATTAGTTACAAATGTAAGTCATTTAAATTTTTCTAGATAGCAATAGATTTAGAAAAAGGCACTCCTTACTGATTCCATTTTATATTCCTTTTCTCCTGGGGACCTCAGATATGAAAACCAACAAATGACATCCCTATTTCAGACTGTTGTGATAGGGGCAACATAGCTACAAAATGTGTGTTCATTTTCACTCTGCATTATAGAAAGAGACAAGAAAAGAGATGGACAGAAAAATTGATATATGAATGGAGATCATCACAATATTGTATTGCAGGCAAGGTGAAAACTGTAAGCAAACAAATACTGTATGTAAGGCCTTGCCCTGATAATTAAATTCTATATAGTTACTGTTATGGTCTAATTATGAGCCCATC